GCGTTTGACGTAACCTATTTTTTTTACCACGCTTTCAGTAATACAGGCAAATTGATTACTCAAAAATGTACTGGGATACTCTCGCAAAAATGAGTAGCAAGTTAAAAACAAGGGACTATTACATTATATAGTTTTGCTGTGGATTATTTGAAAACAATTTTTTATCGCTGTACGCTACACCGCGCCTTGCAGGTACCTAGAAAACATATCATACTACTCATTTCTTTCTTTCATCCTTATATAAACATACAGAATATTGCTTGTACGTGCGAATTGAGAATAATATTTACGTAATTTGATCGGGTCTTACATCGACTATAGAGGATGATAGGCCTATGTTAAGAAACGACTAGCTGGTGCATATTTCTCCCACGAGAAGTTATAGTGACCGACTAAGCAGTCTTACACAATCCAAAATTTACTAACAGTGCTGATGTCTACGATGTTGAATAGCTTGCCAGTGTAAAAATATTGCGACACAGGATAAATCTGCGCAGTTAGGATGTCAGCCTGATTGGAAGTGACATTTTACAATTTTCTTATCAAAGGTTTCAGAAAACACGGATAGACGCCAGGGGTTGCTCAGGTACCCCTGGCGGCTCTGTCTGTCTCTGTCTGTCTCTCTCTCTCTCTCTCCTCTCTCCCTCTCTCTCTCTCTCTCTCTCTCTCTGTCTCTCTCAGATCCCTCTCTCTCTTTCTTTCACGTACCCCAGATTGAATGCCCCTGGTCTATATAATCGGAACCATAAGCACCACGACGGCCTACATCTACAAAATCCGGAGAAACAGAACAGTACCTTCACAACTTGCACAGAGATGGTGAAGGTCCCGATGTCTTCAGCTCGCAAGGCTCTCTGAAACGCCAGCGGTACTGCAACACACAGAGAGCCAGCGATAAAGCCTACATCCTTATCCTGTTTATAATTGAGAGGCAAATCTCAGGCTGAAGCTTAATTGCGTGTAACGAAGCGGTATCTAATTAAGACCAGCATATTTCCGGGTTAGGCACATGATAAGGAATAAAACCACGGGGAAAAATGACGTTAGGACGTGTGACAGAAAAGGAGATGGAAAAGAGTGAGATATATGATTTTTGAAAATATAATATACACTAGAAAATTAGTATAAATAATACGGAAATGAGAAAGAGAATAAAAGGTAGATAGAAAAAGAATTAAATGAAGAGAGAGAGAGAGTGATTGATGTTGATGGCTGATGATGACTGATAATTGATGATAATGATAATGATGATTGATGTTGATGACTGATGATGACTGACGATGACTAATTATGATGACTGATTATGATGATAGATGAAAGTCCACTTCGTACAGGCTCCACATGCTGCGTCGCCTCAAGTTCCTTAGGGCGTCTTCTGCACGTGCCATAAAAGTTAATTCAGTATTATTTAATGCACCTCTAGACCAGGCTTTAATATTAAGCCCATTTTTAAATCCTCCACATGCGCAGAAGGGACAAGTTAATCCCACCAATCATGTACTGTTACGTCACGTGTCCGTCATGAACCTCATGGGTGCCATCGCTTGAGTTGCCTTTCAGAGTTATTTTCGGCAATAACATCGATCGTCTTAGAATTTTCATACTTAGTATTTATTATGAAAATGAAATTATATATATTTACACAAATGATCAAATATTCTGATAAGGGAAATAACTTATATAATGAAAAAAAAAAAAAAACAATATAATCCCACGAGGAATCTTTGAAGTTCCAGGTTAGTGAAACAAAAATTATATGGTCAAGGTCACACAAGTTGACGTTTTAAATCAAATATGAGCCAGTGTTTTAAAGAAGAATTATGTGCTGAGTTTTTCTCACTTACTTTACTACAAAATTAATAATGGATATTAATTGGTGAATGTCATTTTTGTACTTGAGTGTCATTGAAATAAATTGTTTTATATTGTTGTAGAGCATTTTCGTTACCCATTTTACTACTATAAATATAAGATCGTTATCATGAAAAAAATAGAATATTTCATAAATAATCATGTTTCCCTTATAAGTAAGCCTACTTGTGCCTCGCAATTATCATATGAAGATCAAACTGCATCTTGAGTGACTGACTACAACTTTCTATAGCAATCGCCTTTTCTACAATCTATAAAAAATGAATATCAGTTGTCAGGAAAATCTTTTAACAATGCAGTGTCTGAATGCAAATTGCAAGGTTTATCCAAGTAAATTTTATATCGGACTGCAAATCTTTAGGTAATATCTTTAAAACTGTCTTCTATATCATATGCGTAGGGACATGAAGGGTGAATGTTGATTAGATATTTTTGGATGATTTTTTTTTTTGCTTATTTACAGGTATGAGTACTTGACTTGCTCCAAACGCTACCCTACAACATGCAACAGTTATGTGTGAAGAGCAACATTTGCACAGACACGTTTCAAAATACCACAGATTTTTCAGCAATAAAAAGACAACATACCTCAGCTCCCACCCTTTAGATTTGTAAAACCTATTCCCACACGCCTAGAAATACGAGACCAGGATCTTCAAATCACAGCAGAGGGCAGAACCATCACTATATAAATTTAAAGAGACAGTACATTAACTTAAGATACCACAAATCATATTTGAAACATAATCTTGAAGAAATGTGTACAGAAAATAGAGCTACGAACTTTCTTACTTTGATATGATGCTAGTCTTAGTTTTCAATTTTGGAACATTGGGAGGCATACAGAATTTTTAATAATATGAATTTTTTAATGCCTTGTCTTCAATCATGTAGGTACGTCTGGGATGAAGGGAAGGAAAAGGTGGTCTTCAGAAGCATCTGAGAAGTTTATATTATTATTTTATTTACTTTAAACAATTAGGAGGCAAAGTAGTGCAGAGATAAAAGAGGCATAAGATAATTAGCATTGTGAAAACATTAGTAAGAGTCTCATTTTCATGAAATACACATTAAATATAATAGATATTTTGAAACCTAAGAGATTTCTAAAATATTCTTAAATATGATCACCAAAAACATGACATTACAAAAAGAAAGAAAGAAAAGAAAAACATGAAATATAAAGAGCGAATTTCACGCGCGACATTTCTCTTCTCTCCGACATGATACCGGTGGTGATAGAATAGTGAGTGCGACAGTTTTTACTGAACATTATTGTCGCGCCGTCTGGCAGCGGAGTGTCGTCTTCGGTACGGACACGGTGGATTAGGATTAAACTAAATACGGTACTAAGAGTTAGGGACGCTACAGAAGACGCCCTTGGTGCCCCACTTCCGAAACTTCAAAATATCTCCAGGCTATTCCTTAGGCCTAAGTTGACCTACCCCCCCACCCTCCACCCCGCCTGGTCCCCCTTCCTCACCGCCGCCGCCCAGCTGATACAACTCGTGAGGATAGAGAAAGGGGCAGATAAGATCTTTCTCGGTCCTGTCTATACGAGCTACGACAGCGCCCTGGCTTCCCTAGGCCTCAACTCCCTCACCACTCACTACACTACCTCAATGCAGCAGGTTGGTATCGAGGTGGTGTACCATTCACGCCTCTCCCTTGCCCAGTGTTTATTGTGTACTTTCCCAGTGTTTATTTGTACTTTCCCTTGCCCATTTTGTATTTGCTTTGGTTTGCTTGATTTGCTGGTATTATTTTTGTTAGTTCATATGTTGTTTATATATGTGTATGTATGCACAGTTTTTCTCTTATCTGTATTTCTATGTACTTTTCCTGCCCCTGGCTGCATGAAAATTAATACAGCGATGATAATGATAACACATATAATTTATCTTCCAAAAATAAAAAAAAAAAAAAAAAAAGTCAAGGTAAACATTGCCAAGCACCTAGTTAATATGTATCACAATTCAATAGAAAGAAAATATACTGATTGCTTGCAAGATGACCGACAGCCGAAACCCTGAATTTAACGTGAAACGAACATAGCATTTGAGAACCGTCCTGTTGCAAGACTGCGCTCTCGAGCAACTCATGTACTGAATTTGCATGAATATAACTCAGTCTGCACGAGAATATGTATAAACTTCACACTGCCACTGGCACCTGCTCCCGACACACCCGTAAGCGGACTAGCTCTGAAACCAGTTTAGGGAAGTTAAGAGTGAAAGCTCTCCACGCCACGCCTTCAGTAGAAAATAGAGAGTGAGCGGGTGAACAAAGTCATCCTTGAGGCAGGTTCGGAGATTTTATAAGAAGATTATGCCTGGAATGCAGCATCATATGTAGTGCGGATCACGATGCTCATGTCGTGTGGACCAAATTTTCTGACTTTATATTTGCTTTATATGTGAGTATGGAATAGCGCGCGCAGCTCCTTGGCGGAAACAAGTTTGTGCTCGAATGTAGCAGTAAAATAAAGCATAATGATTTAAATGATATTTCTGGAAGTTCAGTGAATAAGTGAGGTGGAAGTAGTCAATATAATTACAATTTCGAATCATACGCCTGAAAAAGAGCAAACAGAAGACAAACCCAACAAATTGCAACTTTACAACCAGAAACGGTTGCACTTTGTCCCACGATTGTGAAAACCTGTATCCTTTCCCCTAAATAACCCGAGACATTTCTAATAATTATTTGAGTTCAGAATACCTCTACGTTGTGTCCTTTGGGCAGTCGCGTGCAGAGGCAACTGTATGATTGCATGATCCTAAAATCTGATTAACGCCAGCCCAACTAACAGACTGGCCGGGGAGATAATGACGTCACTGGTCTTCCTAGATCCTGATTGAATAATGGCAACATTGCCTGATCTGGGAAAACTGTCATACATCCTCACTTTACATAAGGCGTCCCCTGTCATATTCAAGGCCAGCGATTCAGCGCGGGAGGCTCATGACATTTCTTCACTTCGTAGTCCTCTTAGTTTTATATTTAACAAAACGCTCTACAAGACATGTCATGACAAGTCGCCAGACCCACCTTGTTTATTGTTACGCAAAGGAAGCACGCACGGTTAAGAATTGAAGAAAGCTTTAGTAAAATGAAATCTCCCCCTGTAATAGTTTATCACATTTATTCACACAATACATCAAAGACATTACAACAAATAAAATAGCGTCATATGCAGTTCTCAAACTGTATGCTATGTCTAAATCATAAAACGCAATTTACAACAACGACACTTATTTTCTTATTTGTATCAGTAACATATAACACGTAATCATATAAATAATACCATGTAATCAATTCAATACATGTGTCATGGAAAGTACCCCATGAATTGTTCTGTCTCAGCCACCGAAATAAAGCAGAATAGGCCTTAAACGATACCTTGGCTCATAATTACGAACTACTGGACAACGTTGCAGGTCTCAGAAAAAAAAAACAAAAAACAGTGTATTATTCAACTACATTTGTTGCCTAACTGCTGCATTTCCCTCTCTCCATCATCCGCAGAACACGATCCCTGCCTTTCAGGTCGAGGCACTTGTCCCAGTCCGGCCAGAATTTCTCCTTTATCCGGTGGCAGAGCGCGTGCAGGTTTCGGTAGTCCTCTGGAATGGTTTATAGTTAGTATTATTATTAATTATTATTATTATGACAATTATTATTGGTATTATTATTACCATTATCATCACAATCATTATCATTATTATTATCATTACAATTATCATTATCATTATCATTACTGTATTATTATCATTATCATTATGATGATTATTATACAAAGTTACGCTGGTAAATTCTATAGTGCTTTCTGTGTCTTATAATGAGTATCTGGCAATTGGATAAATAGGGGTCCTTATTTCGTATTCATGATATTTTTTTGGAATATGATTTTTCTGGAAAAAACACCATCTCGGTCTAAGCCTTATTAATGTTGAGTGTTTGTGTGTGTGGTGCACAAAAATATCATTAGGTCATAAACAAATGTTCGTCTTTTTCTATAGTCCCCACTGAGTTCGTGTATACAAGGGGATTAGTGTGTATACGAGTGTATGAGTATGTCGTTTGTGTGTATATGGAAAAATGCATTTGCTAGTTTAGGACTCTAAAATAATTGGAAAACTAATCCATATAACTATCAAAGAAATTGTATTATGTTCTAAATACTATTTCGCATAAATCCCTACTCATCAATTTTCTGAATGGAAAAAAATGCACTATCTAAAATACGTTTCTTAAGGAAAATGCTACAGAATTTTAATTTATTTTTTTTTTACAGATACTCATTCGTATCAACATACACCAAAAAGAGTGATGCACTTCATACCTTCCAACTTTTAGAGAGAGAGAGAGAGAGAGAGAGAGAGAGAGAGAGAGAGAGAGAGAGAGAGAGAGAGAGAGAGAGAGAGAGAGAGAGAGAGAGAGAGAGAGAGAGAGAGAGAGAGAGAGAGAGCAAAAAGGCAGATAGAGAGACAGAGAGAAAGACAGAAATATAGAAAGAGAGAAAGAGGTAGATATATAGATAGATAGACAGAGAGAAGCACTTACTCTCGAGCATCCTCGTGTAGTCCGACACCGGAGGACAGAACACGTCTCGCGTCAGCAAACCGAAGACCGCAGCATCCACATCGGTCGGACTGGCACCCATCATGAACGGCTTCTCACCTGTGCGGATTAATAAGAGAGAAGTTGTCTTTATAGTGTTCCTTGTAATGTTTCCGTTATCTTCCTTTCTTTTATTTCTGACTTCTTTGTTTTTTTTCATTTCTGTTCCTGTGTATTTAATGTGATAGATCCTTATCCGTTATTATTTTTTACTTTTCATTCTGACGTTGTTAGCGTTTCCGTGTATATATATTTATGTTTCGAACAAACAACAATTTCACAGTGACTGCTTCTCATACTTTTTTTTTATCCCGATACCCAACTTCTCAACCTTTCTTTAAATAACTAAATAATAATAGTACAAATAGGAATAACTTATACAAACACTAACAAACATGAAAGATACCGTACCGAGCCAAGCCGAGAGCGACTGAAGGCATTTCCTCCCCAACTCATCTACTTCCCTGTAGCTGTGTCGCCCTACGCCTTGGACCTTCGTGGCCTCCAAATACTGGTTAATGAACATGGGCATGAATGGCCGGCAAATCCAAGGAAGGGAGGTGTTGTAGGCCAGGTGGCGACCGCGCTCCCGGCCGAAGCGGAAGACACCGAGGCACCTGGAGCGGGAAATGGCGAGAGTGAGACGGAGGAATAGACACACCACACGACACACACACACACACACGCACACACACGCACACACACACACACACACACACACACACGCACACACACACACACACACACACACACACACACACACGACACACGGTATATATATATATATATATATATATATATATATATATATATATATATATATATATATATTATAGTTTAGGGATCATTGAACGGGGTTGCGGTTTCCCATACTGAGATCACTGAAAATTGGAATAATTACTCTGCATCTATGGCCGTGTGTACATGCGAAAGTGTGAAGATTGTGAAAGAGGGAGAGAGAAGGAGTGGGAAAGAGGAGAGGAGAGAGAGAGAGAGAGAGAGAGAGAGAGAGAGAGAGAGAGAGAGAGAGAGAGAGAGAGAGAGAGAGAGAGAGAGAGAGAGAGAGAGAGAGAGAGAGAAGAAAGAAAAGAAGAGAGAGAGATAAGCACTTTCGAGCATTTTCTTGAAGGGTGACAGGGAGAGACAAAACACGTCATGAACAAGCAAGTCGATGACTGTACAGTCGAGTTCTGTCTGCCTGCACCCATCACACTTCTCACCTGTGCGCATTAGACAGATAAGCAGAGAGAGAGAGACGGACAAATAGAAAGCAAGAAACAAAGCAAAAACGAGCAGACCCGAACCATACCAGAAAAAGTACTCGTCCACCATGACGCGCAGGGCGTGAGCCACGGCCTTCTCCTCCTGCGACAAGTGGGCGTCGAACTCCTTGCCGAACTTGGCCGCCAGTTTCTCGATGATCATCTGCGAGTCGCCAACGTCCTCGCCGTTGAGGGTGATCCAGGGCGTCTTCCCCTTCGGTCCAAAGGGCTCCTCGTGGTCGACCTGCGGGGCCGAGGAGGTCGAGTCAGGTACGCAGGATTAAGGTTGATAATGCGAAAGATAAAGGCCGAAGGTAGTGGTGGTAAGGTAATGGCCGCAAGAACACGAGGAAAAGTACAACAGATAATAATAACGGGAGTATAACAAGCACAAAAACAATGATAGAGTTTCCGCTGAAAAGCAACATAAAAATATCAAGAACAGCAACACGTAAAAACAAACCTACACCGATATTAGGCAAAAAGAAAAAAAAAAATGCCATTTCACTCCAGACATAGAATTCTGAAACGAAAGAAAAACGATTGTAATTTATAAAAAACGACACTCACCACATAAGGGATCTCCGCCATCCTGACGTAGGTCTCGAGTTTGACGGCGAAGGGAGAAATATTCGGGCAGAAGAATCCCCGGGGCGGAATGTGCAGGACCACCACGTCCTTGCCGGCGTTGTTCCACCTCCTCCTGCGAGAAACGGACCTTCGTTCAGTGGTGTTGCACTTCTTGGGGGATGGAGCCCTTGGTGGCGGATGGCCTGTGTTGGTTATGAGTATTACTCTTTCTTCACACTTAGACTATTGTGAATATATACATATATACTTACACACACACACAAAACACACACACACACACACGCGAGCACACACACACACACACACACACACACACACACACACACACACACACACACACACACACACACACATATATATATATATATATATATATATATATATATATATATATGTAGTAGTTTAGGGATCATTGTACGGTGTTGCGGTTTTCCCATACTGAGATCCCTGAAAATTGGAATAATCTCTACTCTGTCTCCCTTTAACTTAATCTAATTCACTGATATTTAGCAGAGTCTTTTCCCTTGATATAACGGAACCACAGTTAAAACAAAATACATAAAGCAAGCAAGTTATAAAGGAGTTTATGCAGACACAGCTACGTAAAAATGGCGTTCGGACACGTGACAGGTTAACAGACACATTTAGCATTTACAAATAATCAAAACACACAAGCGAATGAAAGATTGCCTAACTACAGTAACGATAAAAGTAAACAAGAAAGATAATAATACATCCTTCACCTCCTCTCCTGTTTCTTCACGTAGCTCCATATTTTCATCACGCCAACCACCACCACCACAGTTATGGTGACCGGCTTGTTCTTGCCCCAGACCAGTCTCAGAGCCTTCCCGGCGAGGCGAGCCGTACCGTCTTGAACATTTTGTAGTATCATTCTGCGGTAAAAAAGTATATGTTCGTTTTTATGAATATACAGTTCATGTATAACCATATATGTATATATTCTCACAAAAACACACATGGTGAGAATGATAACAATGATAATAGTAATAATGGCAATAATCATTACAATACAATACTGAAATGAACAAAAATAAATGTAATAATGATTTGCCTCGCATACAAAACTAAATATATTAGTGTAATTTCGTTTCTGTGGAGTGGGTTATCAATGTATCTAAAATGACAATCTATTGTTTTTACTTCAGTTGAAATAAATGTCAAAATTAGTCACTTTTATTCTATTTTCTCCCATAATTTTAACACCAAACTTTGGCACGTGCTGATAAAGCCAGTGAAATTCCATTTACTTTCTGCCAGCGCCGTAAGTTAATGAAGTACCGCAGTATTTTGCAGAAAAAAATATTAATATACACAAAGTTCCGCTAGGCAGCTAGATAAGTTATCCCTCTAAATGCCATTTTCTTTCATGCAGTCGTTGGGGAGGGACATGCACATTTTCAGGAATCTCGGAATTGCAAATAAATAAACTGGTTTCTTCATGATTCCATGATATAAAACACGCCCACTTGGATAAATTGCATCAGGTTGTTGGTATCCCTGAAACAAGCACCAATCGCCCCAGTGTCCTTACAGCTCCGAAGAAGTACTTTCTTTTTTTCACGCCTCTACCCACTTCCCTAACTGTATATCTTGACAGTGTGTGTATTTAAAATGTCTTGCTGATACATTACATCTTATCAATAATCCGAAGAAAATACTGTTAAAATACATTCGCTAAATTATTAACCTGTACGACTAAGAAACTACTCCTACCTTGACGGTGATTTCACACAACTACCACCACTTTCTCTGCGCGATAAGGTGATTTGCCTAAAACCACACGTTGGCAACTCGCACGATCTTACCAGAACACGACGCTCAATTATTTTTATCTATTTTTGCGATATATAAATTATTTACATTGCTTCTCCCTAGGTCAATCATAATGGTGTTCGATGATGCAAGCACTGAACTCCACTGCAAGCATATTTCAATCAGTTATACAGTTTGGTGGTGTTCAATAATTTTGATTTTAGGTACGGTCGTGCTGACTAACCGTGACTTGCATTTCCACAACCATCGTCACTATTACTTGTAGAATTATATACCTAAACTAGCCAACCGATTTTTATGTGAATATACTTTCTTAACACTCATAACTAATGCCATTATTACGGTTAACATTCTTAGAGTTGCGATTATTATTAGTAACATTATCGTTATAAGTACTACCCACATTGTTAAGAATTTAATTATCATTACTACTATTTTGCCATTATCATTACTATTTGTTTTCATGATGATTATAATTATCATCATTATTTACATTATTATCATTATCATATTATTATTATTACTATTATCATTATCGTCAACATTATTGTGCCAGATTTCCATGATTTTTCACGAAGTCGTATACTTGACAAATATATACAAAATATAAAATCCTTCCTACAACTCGATAAAACATAATAATGCATGTTTGCGTAACTTGTAATCAACTGACGATGCAGTAACAAGTTCACATCGAAGGTGACAAATTCTCACTCATCTATTTACCGCTATTACTTTTTTTTTCTAATATAGAGACGATCTCTTCAGGACTTCCAAATCAAAGTAGAAGAAGGTAGAAAGTAGAAGGGAGGCTCCATTCAGTATTACGTATTGTTACTCGTAGGAAGCACGCAAGGTTAAATCTTGAAGAAAGTAAAACGAAATCTCCCCATACAGTGTTTTATATATGTATATTCACGCATACATCAATGACGCTAAAATTAATAGAATACCGTCACATACAGTTCTCAACGAATGACTACGTTATCAGTCTAAATCAGAAAACGCAAAATACAACAGAAACACATATAACTCGAAATCAAATAATTGAATACATGATTATGTCCTGTGAATGATCACATGAATTGCTGTGTCTCGGTTACCAAACTAGAAGCACCCAGAAAGCGCATACCTCCGCCAAGGCCATAGCAAACCCGGGATCCGTATCATGATCTGTATTACCGCCAAAATAAATAAATAGCATTCAAGTTGGGGTAAGACACACCTTTTATATAAAACTTCATAAATATCTGTTCATAACTTTTTGAGTTATCCTCTCTACCAACGGACAAACAAACCAACGCTACCAAAAACACAACTTCCTTGGCGGAGCTGATATATAAACAGGAAAACTAACATAAATAAGAAAAAAATATAAACATACAAATCATATGAGAAATATCTCAAGGCACAGTAAGACCACTGCTAATACCTTAGTATATGATTACAAGTTACTTGACAACGTTGCAACTTAAGGTTAAAAAAAAAAAAAAAAAAAAAAAAAAAAAAAAAAAAAAAAAAAAATATATATATATATATATATATATATATATATATATATATATATATATATATATATATATATATATATATTACCAAACGATATGTATCGACGAAGGGGGACAGACTCGGGCAGAAGAATCCCCGGAATGTGCAGGACCACCACGTCCTTGCCGGCGTTGTTCCACCTCCTCCTGCGAGAAACGGACCTTCGTTCAGTGGTGTTGCACTTCTTGGGGAGCCCTGGGGGTTGGCTTATTTTTATCCGGATTATTATTATTATTATTTATTATTTTTATTTTTATTATATATTATTTTTTTTTATTTTTTTTTGGGGGGGGGCATAAAACTTATTCATATGATTTGGGATCAAATATGATACTAAAATTTTCCGATATCAAGATCTCTGAAAAATGGAAAACTGGAATCTTCACTCTGTCTTCCTTTACTTATATCTAATTCATAGATACTTTTACTGGGACCTTTTCCTTAATACCACTGTATGATAAAACAAACATGGACGGGTTAATAGACATTTAGTTATGCAAATAATCAAAACACACTCGAATAAAAAAAATGTATAAAAACTACAGCGATATAAATAAATTTCTGCTTCTTCATGTGGTTCTGTATTTTCATAACAACAACCATTACCACCATAGTTATGATGACGGGCTTGTTCTTGCCCCAGAGCAGTCTCAGGGCCTTCCCGGTGAAGCGAGCGGGCAACTAGTCATGAATAGTTTGTAATATCATTCTGCCTTTGGTAAAAAAAAAAAAAAAAAAAAAAAAAAAAAAATATTATATATATATATATATATATATATATATATATATATTAAATAAATATTATTA